GAGTAAAGAAGAGTCTAGCAGCAAAACAGATCCTGGAGGATAAATGGTATAATTAAGTTAGAGGAATATAAGAGGTGGACAGAATCTGGACTAAAACCGCAGAAGATGTCCATAATAAAAACAATCTGAAGAAAAGGGAATCAAGAAAACACAACACAGATGAAATGTTACATCAGAAGTGGGAAGAAAAATAGTTCCAAAAAATGATCTGAAGGAAATTAGACTGGGTCTAGAACACACCTGAACATATCAAGTTTTTATCAAAAACTGATAAAACATTGCCTGACCAAACAATTGCACTCTTTGATTTATAGCAGTTCTGTTCTTAATTACCAGAAACTGAGAACAACCCAAATGTCCTTCAGTGGGTGAATGATAAACAAACCATGGTACACCCATGTGATGGACTACAAGTCAGCAATAGAGAGGGATGATGCATGGAAAAACCAGGATGGCTCTCAAATGCACGATGGCATGTGAAAGGCAGTCATGAGAGGTTATATGCTATAAGGTTCCACTGATACGATGTTCTTGAAAAGACAAAACTAGAGATAAGTAGTGTTACGGGGGCAGTGACTACAAAGAGGCATGCACTGCCATCGAGTCGGATCTGACTCACAGCGACTTCTCCTTGGTTGCCGAGGCAGTCCCACTATGGAAGTAGATTGCCCAATCTTCCTTCTGAGGAGTGGCTGGTGGGTTTGAACCTCTGGCCTTCTGGTTAGCAGTCAAATGCCTTAGGCACTACGCCACCAGAGCTCCTTTTGGGTGGTGTAAGTGTTCTGTATCTTAATTTTGGTGGTGGTTACATGAATGTTGTTGTGTGCTGTCAAATAGATTCCAACTCACAGCGACCCTACAGGACAGGGTAGAACTGGTTGTAATCTTAGGCTGTAACCTTTACTGGAGCAGATCACCGGGTCTTTTGTCCTACGGAGCTGCTGGTTGATTTAACCCTACCTTATGATTAGCAGCCAAGCACTTAACCATTGTGCCACCAGGGCTCCTACATCAACCTGTACATGTGTTACAATTCAAATAACTGTCCACCAGAAAGGAATGAAAGTCAACTTTACTGCATAATAATAACAATAATAAAAAAAAACAGATAAAACATCTTGTAATACCTATAGTTATCATTCATATTTGGACTATTGTCCATTCTTTAATGTAATTAATTCTAGGCAATATTATAGTCACATGTCCTTCAATTTAGCTAGGTTTTAGTTTCTTCTCCCTGAATATTACTTACAAACTGTCTTCTATTCACAAATATTTAAAAAACTATATTCAAATCTAAATGATAATAATAAACTTCATTTCTTTCACCGTATTTATTGAACAGAAGTCAGATGATAAATGGTAACTTGCAGCTAAAAAAAAAAAAAAAACCGAACACCAAAAGCTTTTCACGTGCCTAGCTGTAGAAAAAAATGAAGAACGGGAGCTACAATCTCCACTTTGCCAGCACTTCTACGTACGAGGGTATTAATTTTTGTAGTCTTCTGTGCGGAACACAGACATGCCTGTTGGTGACCGAAGAACTATGAGATTTCACATTATTTTTAAAAGACATTTTTATTCAAGGCTGTCTGCCCAATACAGCACAAAACAAAAAGCTGCTATTAATGTAGGAATTTTGCTGTCAATGTGTCTTTGTGTTGACACTGGAATTATGGCTTCCTTTTCAGTCCAAACTCAAAAATCACCTAGGTGAACAGGGAAGTCACA